TGTTCCCTTGCACGGCCCATTTCCTTATCACTAGCTCTATTTATGCGATAATTGAACTGAAACGGTTGGCCGAAACGAATTACCGTACGCTGAAGCAATTTTGTTGTCGTTAAACTGATCTCACAAAACTAGTGATTGTGTGATTATGTTGTAAACAGTGTGGCGGCCCGTTGCTGACAAGAGACATACGGTAGACTGCGATTGCGTTGCGTGGGCTCAGGTAAATCGTGCAAGCGTTTGGTCTCCCTAAGCGCGACGATGCGCGCCGCGGTACGCCTTTATTTAGTGCTGTAAACGAAGCCGGTTGTAAAGTCGTCCTGCGCATAACGCCCGTCCCCAGCATAAACACGCTTCTTTGCGGTGATACTGCCGCCAGAGGACGGACGATAATTGTTGGGGGAGGGAGTGTGACGACGATGACGATGAGTACGGTAACGCGCTCACTCATTGACTATCGGAACATCACTTAATGCATTTGATTGACTCCGTTTTTTCCAAGTATGACCAGCGCTCCCGAAATAGACCGATTTCAAAAACAAATGAGTGAATCCACACGGGACGATCTCCAAATTTGAAACGGGTACAGCCTTGGCCAAGGGTTGCGGTCAGACACGTTTTTCAGACCTTAGAGTGATAGAGGGAGGTTCGAGTCTGAAAAGAGGACTTGCCAATGCCAGTTGTTTTCATTTTCCACCTATTTTTTCCATGAAAGTTATCAAAAACTGTAACAGACTGTTTTGATCCAATTTGTTTTGATGTTTTGATATATGTTACTGATCCTTATATTGTTTCAAATCGACTTTCCCTTCAAATACCTGGGAAAACATTTATCCCAATTCAGAGTCAAAAGGTAATGAAATGGCCCTGAAAAGCTGTAATGGAAGAGCAATTTTCCTAGGTTTGCTGGACCCTTTAAGTTCAGTTTGTTAGTAAATCGTGAGAAGTGCAAATGAATCTCTTCAAAACTTCTACTCCGAGATTTACAAACGTCCTTTCCACTCCACCTTAAAACGCCACTGAATTTAGGTTTTTATAAGAATTTTCTGCTGAAAAACAATTGCACACTCAGAAAATAAATGATTTTTGTTCCAAAAGCCGACAATGGAAGCGACCAATTAAAAAAGTGGTTCTGATCAATGCCCGCCCTGCGAGGCTCAAACCCAGCTTTTGTCAAACTAATTTGACGAGTTCCATGGATAGGAGCTTCACTACCAAAATAAATGGTTCTCGATGACAATGATAGGATACATCAGCAACTTCGTAACTGGTTCTTTAGCCCTAGATTCAAGAAAATTTGACGGCAATTCAAGTTACAACGATCAATTTGGCAGGTTTACTTATCCCCAAGTTAGCGCAGTAACCAGTAAATCACAGTTAGGGCCCGGAATACTGTATTTGATGTGAAAGTGGGGGTTATGACATGAAGAGATCTCCTCATAGAGAATGGCAAGTATCAGTGGAACGTTATTACCATCCATAGAAGTAATCACCTAAAATTACCGATCCTAAGAGCGTGGTGGGGTTTCGATTTCCCACGTTCACTAATAAAACCATGCTCCATTTTCGGGCTGGGATCATATTTCCTAGGGGCGTTTTTGAGGAATAGTCCTTAATCGCTCAATAATGCGCAATTAAAGTGCGATTTCCATGGCACGCTCTCGTGGATAATTTGTGCGTTAATTAGTCACGAACTGGTAATAAGAAGTAATTGAGACACCCTCGACACAGTATACCTCGTAAACGGGGCTTACGGGCTGCCGTTCGCTCTCACTACATGACTGGGGGTTGCTGTCGCTTTCACTCTCATACTCATGCTCTAATTGAACCCATTTTCTCGATTAAATGTTTTTCTTCGTCGGGCTATGATAGTCAGTCGTGCATATGCAAAGACTAGGGAAACAGTTATTCGGCCGCCAGGTTTGTAGCCAACGTGGACCGGCTGTTGCTGACTGGACCAACAGGGACGGTTAGAGCTCGTAAAGCTTGACCCAATCAGTTGCAAAAGAGATGAAGGAGACCAGTTAATGGGTGCCCTATGATGATCCAAAACTGGATCCGAAACTTTTTCCTCTCTGCTATTTCAATACATTTTATGGTTATCGATTCGCCATTACAGACCCCCGCGATGACAGTCAGATTCGACGATACCGTACTGCATTTTCTCGTGAACAAATTGGACGATTGGAACGAGAGTTCGCCAAGGAGAATTACGTTTCACGAAAAACCAGGGGAGAACTAGCAGCCGAATTGAATCTTCCCGAAGGGACCATTAAGGTATGTAGGTCCTTAATGGTGAAGTAAAGCACCGGATATATTCCTATTATTTTCAATCCTGAGACTTCAAAAATGATCCCTTTGATAGAGGCTTTTCCAAAATGGAGTCGTTTCAGCCCTCTCCCTTCCCCTTTTTCAGGAACTGGGTGAGCGAAGAAATCTAAAGCGTGGGGAGATGATCAAAATGGGTTTTTGGAATGCCAAAAACGTCATTTTTCCCCAAATGAAGGCACTTTTCCCTTTCTCCTCTCTCCATTTTGGTANCCAAGGAGAATTACGTTTCACGAAAAACCAGGGGAGAACTCGCAGCAGAATTGAATCTTCCCGAAGGGACCATAAAGGTATGTAGGTCCTCAATGGTGAAGTAGAACACCGGATATACTCCTATTAAATTCGATCCTGAGACCTTAAAAAAGATCCTTTCGATGGAGGCTTTTCCAAAATGAGGGCTTATCAACCCTCCCCCTTCCCCTCCACCTTTCCCCTTTTTCAGGAATTGAGTGAACAAAGACGATCAAAATGGATTTTTTTGAAATGCCAAAAATGTCATCCTTCCCTCAACAGAGGCACTCTTCCGGTTCTTCTCTTCCCACTTTGTTAGCCCTCATCCATAACCAACAATTTTTTCAGTAAATTAGCCGTAAAAAGATTTATTCATCAAAACTGAGGTTGCTACATACTGTCAATGTCTTTCCACTGATTATGCCCTCGAACCCTGGTTGTTTACCCAACTATATATACTGACCGCTTTGAGGCAATTTGTAAGAGGGCAAGTTGCCAGTTTTTCTATAGACTTACCGTACCCCATTATCTATAATCAGCTACCGTAGTCAAGCAGACTTACGGTTGTTTACCCAACTATATATACTGACCGCTTTGAGGCAATTTGTAAGAGGGCAAGTTGCCAGTTTTTCTATAGACTTACCGTACCCCATTATCTATAATCAGCTACCGTAGTCAAGCTTGAAGACATTTGTGGCGGGCGGCGGGTATGTTGGGGGAAAACTCTTAGGGCATAATTCATAGGTCCCTAGAGAACGAGGATTTGACTGCATAAAGCTATATGAAGAGATGTGTTATGCGCGCTGAAATGATTGATGGCAGGAAGGGGGCCTTCAGAAGCTATCAGATACACCAAAGGAGCTCCGCACTAACTCTCCTAGAGCCGCAGCAATCACTTTAGTCGGTTCGGTACTGGTAGATAGGCGTTTGAGTGCTTAGCCAATGAATCGCAAACGGAAGAAATGACTTCGGAAATCATAGCCCATCAAGAGAGCCCTGGACTGCGGTCTCACTTAACTCAGTAAGACATTACTGCGATAGAAAAATACTCAAAACAACCGACCCCTCGGTAATTCTGATTAACTGGTTCTGTTGAATAAAACTATTCGAGTGAATTCCAAGTATCGGGTTATAGAAGAAGTAAGAAAACCATGGAATTCCCGTATATCTGAAATTTGTCTCCCCAGAATCCTGTCTCCCTGGAACCTTTGATTCCTCTCACATGGCAAACCATGAAACCTAAATTTTGAGCAGTCTCAAGAAGATTCACACCCTTTTCAAGCCTACTCGAGCTTTACTAGTTTCTGCTAACCTTTTCATTTGAAGGTCTGGTTCCAAAATCGTCGAATGAAGGATAAACGCCAAAAAGTCGGTGGAATCGCATGGCCTCTAATCCCTCCACAACTTGCCTATCTTATGCATCCGTTCAGTTACGATATGTGGGCAAAAACGGCTTTTGCCTACCCATCTAGGTGAGCCTACCTTTTTCTTTCAAAATCTTTTAGTCTGTGACTTAGTCTCAATAGTGTTCCAATTTTGTGGGCAACATCCTGTGTAAGTAGATATGTGGATAAAAATAAACAAGAAACATAGACAAAACAATTTTCTTTCCTTACTCCACCCTACGGAGACCAATCTACTGGGATGAGTTCACGGACGGAATCTGAGGAAACTTCTGATTAGAGGCGTCATCAAAAGGACCTTAGCCGTCTGCTACTGGCTAAATCCATGCGGCACGCGCAATGGTAGAGGTTTCCCAGAGGTTGTAGAGAGAGGAAAACGTTACCGGTAGTGTTAAATCATTACATCACGACAGTTTTACAGCAGTAGTATACCGATGGCGTTACGCGACAACAACAATCATACGCAACAACACGGCTTTGAACTGTTCCGCTAACATAAGGTCATCCTCAAAACTTGCCAGGGTCCGATCATTAATCGTGCAGCCAATAGTTGGGAATCGTTTCGTTCACATCCTTAAAAAGCTGTTCACGATCTCCATTTCTTCCTTTCGATTCCCTTGATGCTGATCGATGCCCCTTCACAGTGGCCCTGATAGGAAAGGAGTGGAACTGAGGGGGAAAGGAGACGGGGAAAGAGTATACAAAATGACCCATCCATCATCTGCTCTGGTCTTCATCTAAATACTTCTAAACATTGGTCAGACACGAGTAGAGGAGAAAATACGAAAAAAGAGCTGGACGGAGCTCTTCTTCTTCTTCTTCACGCTTATCCTGGCTTACCGTTCCAAGAAGACGGCTGCACAAAGTAACGAAGAGTAAGTGAGAGGGGGGAGGGATGGGAACGGTAAGAGCAATAGCAGAGAAACTCGAAGCAGCCCGAGGTTCGAAGACGATCCTTCAAGTGCCTACAGTCTCGGCGGAAACCGAGCAATACCAGAGAATCTCAAATCTCAGAGCAACTCAGGGTTCGGAGACGATCCTTCAAATATATCACAGATTCGACCTCTTTCTGATAATATACCTGGAAGACTTATGAGGATCATAGGTCTATCCATCAATTTATCTATCATTTATATTAAAAATCTTCGATTTCAGTCCGATGATGCCACATCGTGTCCCGACGGTGCCATTTCCTGTACAGGGTGATATGATCAAAACTTCAACGAGTGATTCATGTGACGACGTGAAGCCCATTACAATCGCCAACGCTCTCGAGCTTACAAACTCGACTTCCACTTCAACTGAATCAACCTGACCCCCTTGCCTCTCCTTTTTATTGATGTAAAAGTTTTGCTTTTTCTATGTTCACCGTAGTGATCATACGCTTTTGAACAAATCGCTTCCCACTCCTAACAGTGTCCTACATCCGTTCCCAGTGTTTTCCTGGTCCTTTCGGGAGGATCGCAAGCTCGGAACAGGGCAAGAGAAGGATTTGGTGACTTATGATTTTCTATTCAAATATTTTGTGAGCTGTGGCTAATTAGGGTACGTAGTCCGACTGTTTTTTTCCTGTGAGATGTTCATAGAATGTTTTTTTTTCTGTCAGATTTTAGTATTTATTCACATGTGTGCCATTAGCCTTTTCTATTTTTCTATTTTTCTCCATTTTTCTGCTCTTTTTCTTTCTTACATCAGCTACAAAAATATGGTGCTTATGTTTTTGTTGGGCTGAGAATATTTGTAAAATAAAAACTTTCAAACAAGTGCCCAGCTAGCTAGATACTTTTCAAAAACTCGTCTATACTACTATGCTTATGTACGGCCCATTTATATCCCCGCTATTTTTCCGCTACTTTTTAAGTTAATATTGAGAACTTCTATATGGTCGGTTTTGTGTGCATCCAAATGTTCTACGAGTCCCCCCACTTGTTGGATGCATGGCTTATTCATAATGAAATGAAAGATACTCACAGCTAGAGATGAGAGAGAAGATACGAAGTGGGAGTGGACTAGAACTATACATCCTTTCAGTTCCATATATACATTTATAACTGTCCGATTCGAATGAGCTGCTGTCCGATGGGTAACTGTGCCTTTCGTGATTATGCTGATCATGCACTTCGTTCGAAATGACTGAAAGGAAATAGAAAATTATGAGTACCCATAAAGTTAATATAGTAACTCTTACAATTAGAAGCGCTTCTTGACCTGAGCCATGCACTCAAATCTTATCTCGGTGATGTTCGCGGTTCTTGTTCTTGTAGAAGGAGTGCTCCGATCTTGGTGATGCCTGCGGTTCTTGTTCTCGTAGAGGGGATGCTCCGACGGCGATCGACGACCTTAGTGATGCAAGTAGTACGGCAGGTAGGTAAGTTCAAAGACGATAGAGTAGCTTCCACGAGTGATCGCCTTGTTCTCCTGGTTTTAGTCGGAGGTGAAATGGAATGCTCGGCTTGATTCTCCAACTCACGGAGCAGCACTTAAGCTTTGTCCTTGTTCAAACAGTACCTGAAGAACACGAAATTAGACGAATTTCTAAGTAATTACTTGACAGAGGGGAAGAGGAAAACATCTTTAATCGAAGCTTTCGCAATTCTGAAGAAAACAAATTTTCCTGTCTGGTATTGTAATCAAGGTTTACTCTGATTTGGCCGACTTTTCGCCTCCCTTTAATGAGGACTTTTTTCTCGACCAATTATCCTTCCGATAAAGTAGGTGCTATAGAGGATTTGTAGATGAAATCAGGGCGACGTCTGCTGTCTTGTATATGGCAATAGTGATAAATGTGCCTGGTGCTTTCGCCCTTTTATTATGCTTCATGAATAAATTTGCATCCGAACACGCTATAACAGCCAACAATTCTCTAATCGGGACAATTTCCCGAGTTCGATAATAGGGAACAGCTCACCGTGTCCCACATCCATACCCGACAACTTTATGGTGTTTTCGAAAACTACTAGTAAAAATGTATGGACGATGGTGTAGCGGCAAGTGGGACTTTACCACAAATGCAAGAGTAGGGGATCGGATCCCGGATCTGTATCCACCTTGGCAAACCAAGCTTTCTAGACCTGAATCACCTGTGAAATTGCGGAGGTACACTTGTCACACGTTGACAACTAATGACGGCTGCCCATTGTTTTTGGATTACCCCGGTACAGATGGGTGCATGGACCTCCTCCCCCCTCCCTTCCCCTGAACAAGATTCGTAGCTTACTTCTTGATCTTGGTGGGGAGGGGTGCGGGGGGTGGGAGGGGGGAGGGGAGGGTTGTAAACTGGCACAGAAATACTGCCTCACTCTGAATGTCGGGCTTTTCCAGTTTGAATTGGGTCGAATGTGAGGATACATCTCCTTCCTTGCTACACCGATTCCATGGGCGACATGATGCCCGAGCGCAGTACCACACAATTGATCGGATAGTTGCTTTTGGGATCGATACCCACTCTACCCAACAACGACTTCCAGCGGTAGGGGTTTGTGAACTGTTGCCATACTGGTTTGGGTGGATAAAAGCGCTATCTTCTACATGGACTGAGTGCTGCATACTATTTTACTACCCTTACTTCATTTTACTCGAGTATAGGAGGAATAAACGCGCTAACGTGAACGATTCCGGGTTGAAGCCGAATGGATGGGCACACCCCACAGACAATCGGTGAAGTACAAATTAAAGAATGAATACAGCGCTAATTTGCAATGTAAAATTCTATATTCTCCTATGTAAGAACGTACAAAAAAGCGGCGGTCGACCTGTGCTTTCTTTGTCAGAAGAGTTGCCAACATTCCAAGTAAACATGCGAGAATTTGAAAGTAAAAAACCAGCGACTCTTCGAGCCATGAACACATTAAGTAAACAAAAATAAAAAGTGAAAAACATAAAAAAAAACACACGAATGTTAGAGAGAAGGCGACGGGCGGGCCAAAACATGGTTGTTATCGGACCGCCCGTGGTGCCATCATTGAGTTGAGGAGATCAAGTCCATTGGTGATCACAAAATGATCACTGAAATTTTCCAGAAAACTGCTTCTTAAAACCTAGGAGGCTGTGGACCCATTGGAACTTCCGAACTATGCTTTTTTCGAAAAGTCAGTGAATTCACATGTCAATGAATCAGGCCTTTCAGAGGTGAGGCTTTTGTGAACGTCGGACTTCTTCAGCAGTGCTGTCCTGCTTTCACCAAACTTCTCTGAGCCCTGTATTAGCCCATATATACACAATCGCTGAAATACCTTGTACGACACCAATCAGCTGGATTTTTTGAACACGTAAGGGTGGAGGCGGTGAGTGGCAAATGGCGCACTACCACACACGCATGGTTACTGGTTTGAATCCCGGAATGATATCCGTCTAGGCCAACCAAGCCTTCCATCTCTCTTTGGTCGACTATGCGGGATCCACTGTACAAGGTCTTTAACGGAGAAGCTCCGTAAAAGACCTTGTACAGAGGATAAGAAATCCCACTCGAAATTCTCAGGGAGAGGCGCTTTCTTAGGAAAGTCTGTCGTTAAAAAGGAACCATCCCGAGCACAGTGGCAGTGAGTGGAGCCTGCTCGCATACATCCGTCCATATGCTTTACCAGAAATCAGGATTGAAGCAACTACTAATTCCACGAATGTTCCCTGACGTCACTACAGGAAAGTACACTATAGGTCAGTGTAGCTTCGAAGTGCAGCCACAATTTCAGGCTGCAGCTTGCTTCGGAGTAAATTCCTCTCTCTTCAGTCTGGCAATAGCTGAGGGCAAGCAAATCGGTGACGGGGGAGGCTCTCCGTGTCCGAAGTTCTCAGATCTCATCTGTGAGTCGAACCCATCCCCCGCTCCTGGCATGCTTGTGAATACTGTACTCATCCATTCGACCACCATGACCCAACCGTTCCTCAGTTCTTACGATACATTTTATCCAAGATCCTCACATCTCGCATCCTCTCGCTCAAGGTAGGGTGCCACGATCAGGTCCATTTTAATTGAACTCTCAGTACGTATACTAGAATAGGAGCTTCCAAATCAATCCCGATAACGGTTATTACAAGTAGGAGATTCCAGGATTCGATCCAGCTTCCCTCGTATCGCCATTGAATACGTGATATGCATGACGAGGTCTCGATCTCAGTCCCATATCACTTCCCCCTATCAATCACCGTGTCGCCTTTTGCTCTCATTCATCTCATCGGCACACGATCATTTCGCGCCTTTGCAATGAACTTTCACTTTCGTCCATCCCATAGTGATCGCTCTTTAACGGATACTCTTTCATGTAGCTATGTGCGTTTGAGATGGGTTCTGAATAAGAAGATCCTTCCTATGAAGCATAGCAGGAGCTTGATGCGACAAAAACAACGGCACCACGAGGATGGCACTAGTAAACTCCTATATAATGCGACCATTCCTATATCTATACCGCAACCAAAAGTTTCAGGGATCGGTTAAAGAAAGGATGGAAGAAAAAATGAGGGAAGACTTCCAGCGTGCTTTTAAATGTTACCTAATTCTTCACAGAAAATCATTTTCAAGGAAACTATAATAATAATAGATTAGTACTGCCGCTGTGCCATGAAATATCCCGAACAGTGTGATGAAGAGTCGGTAATATTCAACCATTTCACACGGCATCACTTTTTGAGGAACATATCGTTTCGGGCACGCTGAAGGGATCGAAACCCGGAATGATACTCGCTCAACCCAACCAAGCCTTCTACTCCTCCAGGGTCGGTTTACCAGGCTCGTCTGGGAGGGCAAATGCACTGGATGGTACATCGGCTAACCACCCCCAGTCATTGTAAAGGTCATATGAAGGACAAAGATGAAGTCTTGACCGCAAATGATCTCGTATTGGGGATGTGCCTCCGCATTCGACTTCTACTAAAAATTGCAGTAACGGTTTGATGCGCGACTGGCTTATACAATGACTTACGGCGGATGGGCGATGTACAAGACACTGCTTTTATCCTCCCAGGCAAGTCTTGTACCACTTGACTGACCCCGAAAGGATGAAAGGTTTTGTTGCTCAGCCCAGTATCGATTCAGGATAAACCATAAACCAAGGGTTTGTGATACTTGCTACTACCCTACCTCCACCTTAGAGATCACATTCGCTTTCAAGACTCCATTACAGTCATTATATTAACAGAAGTGGAATGCGGGGGGTGCATCCAAAAAATCACGACCTTATTAATGCTGACGAGTTCATACCTATCGTCATCGATTGATGGATAAGATTTCCCAGGCTACCACAATCATCGCATAACCCGATGAGCTCTACCCAGTAGTGGTAGCACTCCCACTCTGCTTTTGTGACCTCAACCCTGGAGAGGCAGGAGACGAATCCAGGAACCTATTGTACATACTTTTTCATCTTCACGTCTATCAGTGGAGGTTCTCCGACAAAGGGATGTTGTACTGTTAAAGCCGCTCTTGGAACGATGCCATTTCTCTACTGCATTCGTGTTGGAAAAAAAGGGCAACTAAAGCCGACTGTAGAATCACGTCCCTCGTCAATTCTTGCCTAGCTAGGAAAGTTCTTCTCGTCGTACCATTCATTCCGATTTGGCTGGCTACCAAACAATCAGGTGTAGGAGCCGAGTACGCATTCAGGCCTTTACGAAGCACAGCTATTCACCGATCAACACTTCATCATCCCAACCTTCTCGTTCTGTCACTCACTTCCTGCTATCCAATCCAGCTTTAACGTAATCGATAACCAACAGTTGCATCAGGATCATCAAGCCACATTCTATAATTCAATTAGTCGGCGAAGGTTCATATGTCCCTAACTGCTTCGCCCCTTGAACGGGGTCGGAGACCGACCGACGGGCCGACAACGGTGGACACCAGATAGAGTCGCAATCGCCGCTACGTCGAGAGCGCATTAATCAGCGATAGTCATGTTTTTCGTCCTATCATAGGGATTAAACGACTATGGCCAACTTGGATGTCTGTGTGGGTTGAACCCGTTCCAGTACCCGACCACAGCGACCCGCTTTTCATCATCACCATGGTTGCTACTGGCTCTACTCTGCTACTCTCACGATTTCACCCGGCTTCTACATTCTTGCTGATTTTCTGACGTCATAAATCTTACCCCGGAAGGACCGCTTTTTAGGTTCGACATAAGAACAGCTGACAATCACCTTTCCTTAGTAGGACATTAGGCGGCGTGAGTTTTCGGTGGAAAGGACCGCGACGACCTTCGAAAAAAAAGGAGTCAGGACCGGTTCAGGGAAGATCGGAATATGCTAACCCCTTCCTCAGCTTCATATGGATGCTCCGAACTAAGCGGAATTTCGGTGCCACCTCGAGATTCCGATCTGGTTTCACTTTCATTGAATCGCTGCTAATCACTTTCGATCATTTCCAATTTCGTTCTGTATTCTCCCCTTCCACTTCTCTAGCTCGGATCCCTAACGCCCGAACTTCACATTGATTTATATCACATAGATATCATCTCGACTATCACCCCCATCATCCTTATTTTGACCCCGTTATAATCGTGTTGCGACTTATCATGCAGCTGTTCGGGTCTTCACTTTCGTTCCTAAATTTCCTACGAATTCTTCACCTATTTTTGTACCTGGCATATATTGAAAATATGTATTTTGTAAACTATTCAAATATATTAATGGTGATTTTGAATTGACAATTTTCTGACCGTTGCTCTCCATATTTTCTTCATACGGTCCCTGCTGATCATAGATAGACATCCAGACAAGTTACTCGTAGCCATACATCAACCAGTCACCATACCATCGTAAACGCTCTGGAATGATGTCGATCAGCGCGATGGGTGCTGGACGAGTTCCGGCTTTCTGAGATCAGAGAAACTGCGAATTGTATAATTTGGCTTTTGCATTAGCTTCTCTACAGAATACGAAATCAGCACTGTGGTCTGAGCGACAGGTCCACTTCCCTCATTGCATCTATTTTGAACCCTCACACTTTTTTAGTCGAATTTGTTTCCTCAGAAAACAGCACAGCAGAGAGCTATGTTTACGAGAAATTGTCATGATGAAAATAAAAANTGACAAGGCATGAGCTCAGTCTGATAAGACTGGAACTGGTTAGCGCTTCGTATGGTAGAACGTCCCCTGAACAGTGTTGTTTAACCTTGGTGTTACTCGTCCATCGCTTAATAAATAGTACGATTTGAATTCTATTCTGGATGACACAAAGCTAAAATGGGACTTGCGAAAGAACTTCTTTAAATTTGAAATTTTTTCTCTAAATTCCTGAAGCGAATACGAGTTTATCATCTGGGACCAGCCACTGTTTGAGAATGTCCAATTGAATTCTGTTTTCAGAGACAAACTGCTGTCTGCGATTGAGATTTGCTTACTTTTTTCCATCTCAATTTCAAAAAAAAAAGATTCAGATGGAATTTAAAAAAGGATCTAGATGAAATTAGATAAATGAAATCAGGCAAAATATTTTCAGGCAATTTTATGACAAGACCAGAAATTACTTTATTACAGCTAGTTTCCTTACAATAATGGATTGTTTCCGATGAAATGTTGAAATTTCCATTATTGTTGCCTGGTTAAGGCCAAACCAAACATGACCATGCAATGGGGCTCTTTTTGAATATGATCCTCTCATTGTCGCAACATTTGTATCGATTGACAGCTACGCAGTTTTGTCACTGGAGAAAGGGAATATCAGTCTTCCACTTGGAACAATTGAATCATCGAAAGAGATCGAAAACCACCCATCAAGATATCCCCCACCTTTACTCATCTGCTTGAGTTGGTCAGGTAGAGACTGAGCACACATTCGAGCAGATGTGCTCAGCTCAGATCGCTTAGTTCAGGATAGATTAGACGAAAAGGGCAAGGGCAGGGGTTGTTTCGATGCACGTATTCAGCTAATTTTTATGGGAATACTTTAGTACACACCTAAGACAGTACAGATTTTATGAAGAAATTTTTGATTCTGCTTTGATTCTGAAAAGAAAAATCCTATTTAAATAATATAAAAGCATTTTCTTATGGCTAAACCTATCCTAAAATATGATATCAGTGACAATATCATATGATAATGTAAGATATGATGTAATATACGATGCATTAATAAAATAAAAGTAAAACAAGGCCTTTTTCACTCTAATATATGGATTTTGTTGCCTTTTCCTGGAAAAAATCGTATCAAACATATGCATTCTTTGATTGAACTGTTCGTTCTGGTGTACTGACTGCGCTACTACATACATTGGTCCATTCACTTACACCAGTGAGAACCTCCTTTGATAAAAGGTTTATTGTTCAACTATGAAAATGGACTCAATACTTGTCGGCTACAGTAACATTTATCCAACTTCCATATAGAAGCCCCTGATTGGGTGCATGGCTTACAAGGGATGTGGGAGGGGATGGGAACAGGAGTGGAGCTAGTGGATTCTCAAGGCCATAATTTACCTCCGATCAGCTGGGTACTAATTAGATTAATGAGAAGAAAACCCTGATTGATCTCAAATGATGTTCGATCCAGCAGCTATTGGCTATGCTTCCTGTTGCTGAGCACCCAGACGGTTTCCACCCTTATGGCTATGCTTTCCGTTGCTGACGTCCTTGGAGGGTTTCCGCTTGACAACTACCTCGCAGACACATCCGTCGCTAACTTTCATGTTCGCTAAGTAGCTCTCATTTATTTCGACTACCTGTAATCTTGATAATTCGCTCACATTCACATATTTCCTTTCAGCTTGCTTTTTGTACAGCCCTTCTACAGTATACTACTTCTTCAACTTATCTATATTAAGAATTCTGACAAAAGTAGCCAGGCGATGAGCGAATTGGATTAGACCAGAGATCAGAAATGCAATGATAAGCAGTGATATGAACTGTCAAATGGCTGTAAGATTTTCGATTATTCAGAGGCAAATAGAAGTACTGCAAGGATTCCTCTAACTTCATATCAACCCATTTTCAGAGGATCCTTTGGCTGCTCATCCTGCTCTTCTTGGGCGTGTTTTCAAATCCGATCGATAATGGTCTTGTTGATTCCGAATTGATCCATGGCAAGTTCAGTTACTTCAGAGTATTTGTCATTATCTACCTTTACATTTAGCCCCAACACCATTTAAAACCTAATCTAGACTTAAAAGTCATTCCTATTTTCCATTTAAAGACTTTTGCCTCATATTCGATCAAACTTGAGAAAAGATGGTCTTACCAGTGAGGCCACGTAACCAGCTGACTCCCCTATACCCTTCTCAGCATGAGTACTACCCCCTCCACCCACTTACGTACCCCACAACCCGTTTTACCCACTCTAAAAAGGAGCGCGGGCCAGCCTACCCCATGTGGCGTACCTGCCCCTGTGTAGTAAGATACCCTGTGCATGGGAGACGGGCGTTAGGAACGACTTTGGGTAATCGATTCGCCGCACGCGGC